CCTCATAAAATCATCATATAGTTGCTTGAGCTTAGAATTTTTATTTAATCTTTTCTCCAAATTTAGAAACCGAGCCTTAGCCTGATTAAATGAATTTCCTAAATTAGCGACATCACTTTTAAAAGGAATCTTCACTATAAACTCACCTTTGCAACTTCGCTTAGTGTTATCAATAAAATGCTTTTCGCAAGCCAATTCTTCTTCCGAAAATATTTTCTTTGCTGGTGCTAGCTCTTCAATTTCCCAAAACCGGCTTAAATCCTTTTGAATATTTACTTCATTATTTATAGGCTCCAAAGCCCTTACAAAATTACAATAGGTAGCCTGTTTGTGATTATTTTCATGCAAATGACCTACAGGTCCTGAAACTAGCCACCCAAATTTAGAGTTTTGTAGGACTGGCTTATTTTTACCAAGCTTTATTTGGCCATCTATAATTAAACTCCAAAACATATCTGAGCCAATAAGCAAATCAACCCTTTGTGGTTCCGCAAATTTGGGATCAGCCAACTCAAGGTGATCTGGTATGTTTAAATGGTCAACATCCAATTTATACATGGGCAAAACGCCCGTTATGGTAGGCAACACATAACACTTCAAATATGTGGAGAAACTATCTAAATTAGAGTATAACTTTAAAGTACATCTCCGCTTTATATCAGTTTGGATATTATTAATTCCATTAATTGCAAACTTTATTTTTTCATATGGCAATTGCAAGACCCTATAAAGCTCTTCTGTTATAAAACTGGACTGTGAGCCACTATCTAAAATTGCTCTAACATAGTGAACATTATTAGCTTTATCAATCACTTTTACACAATCTGTAGACAATAGAACGTCACTATGCTTACTTTGGGCTGCATGAGCAACTGACATATTAACGTTGTTTTCTTGTTCATCCACATTTAAGGTGTCAGACTCACCTGTAGCATTGCTAACTTTCTCAATATGCAAAAGAACATTATGTTTTTTGTTACATTTCTTACATGGAGGACGGCGACACTGTCTGCTAAAATGCCCCCCACGCCGACAATTCAAGCACATTTTCAAACCGATTATAGTTTCAGCTCGCTTATCAATAGCGGTTTTCAAAAACTCAGGACAACTCTGAATATAATGTGACCCTTTACACATATAACATTGTGATGACTTTTCTTTGTTTTCCATCACAACTAAACCATGTGATTCTTGTTTTTGATTCATATATTGTTTATTCCCTACACTGTGATTGCGCTTCTGCTCAAGAGTCTCAAGAATTTCTGCTCGTGAAATCAAAAAGTTTTTAAAATCCTGTAACGTAGTCTAAAAGTTTCCCATTCACGAGATGTGCGGCTATCAAGCTTTGTGCTCATTTGGTAAATAATGAGAACATCCCATGAATCAGTAGGAAGTTGAAGCCTGGATAATGCTCTTATGTTTTTTGTCAAACAGTCCAATAAACTCCTGATACCATTGGCTGACTTAACAGTTAGAACATTCATATTGCAAAGGTTTTTGACATGATTGTGTATCAAATTTCTGTCATTATTGTATCTGTCACAGAGTATTTCTCAAGCTACGACATAATTATCCGCACAAAATGTAAGATTCCTAACAATTTCTGCTGGTTCCAGCTTCAAAGAGGCTCTAAGGTAATGAAATCTCTGAATGTCTGTAATTGACTCTTTTTTGTGAATCAGAGATTCATAGACATCTCTGAACTCCAACCAATTTTGCAGTGAACCATCAAAACTTGGCAAATTAATTATTGGGAGTTGCAAGTCCTGCTTAATGCAACCTGCACTAACTACTCTGCCCTCTGGGCTGCTTGCTGATGAGGAATCATCATTCGTTACTCCCAGTAACTCTTTGTTATTGGCTAAAATGTTTTTTGCTGTAGCTAAAACTTTATTGTATTTATTCTCAAATTCAGACCTCTCATCATATTCATTTTCCAATTCAGTTTCATCACAATCTCTATCTATTTTATCCTGTATATCAGCAAATCTTTGCAGCATGCTACATTCTAAACTATTTAATCTTTCTTGCAAATCAAAAACGTTCTCTGGGAGAAGTTCCTCACTTCTTAGCAAATTAGAAACATATTTAGCAAAATTTGTCAAGCTGGCTTTGATACTACCCCTTTGGCGTACAAGCCCTTCCATTATTTATAAATAAGAGGCTAGTTGTGACTTATAAGAAAAGGAAAAATATCCCAAAAGCGATGAGTAGTGGATGAAGGTAAAAGGTAAAAAGGGAATTGCCCACTATAATCTCTTTTCAGATATGCCTTGTTTTTATCTGACCTTGTTTTCCTGACGACTGCACGTCTTCTGCTTCTTCCAGGGCGAAAATTGCCTGAGCTGTGCTATCCAAACTGCTTTTCTGCTAATGGCGGCAGGCGCCTTCCTCGTTGTAACCTCTTGCTGCGATGCGATGCTCCCGACAATTTCTCGTTCTACCCTGTTTTTCTCCTCTGGTTCAAAACTTCATTTGGCGACGAAGGGCCATGTTAATAAGCTTGTTAGCTTATTTTTCTTTGCAAATATTGAACACCTTCAATAAACTTTTTTACTTTATTTTTAGGAAACGTGCAAGTCAGTTCATTTTTAATCTTATGTCTATATAGTTCCGAGTTCTTCCGCGCAGTCAACATCAGGTTAATTTGCGGCGTTGCCACTGTGAAAACGTTTGGCGCGGTCGCCAAATAAAATTCCAACATTCTGCAAAATTCAAAAAACAACATACAAGTCCTTAACAATGGATTAAAATAGTCCGTTATAAGCGAGGGTCTATTTTAAGCGAGTCTATAATATCCGAGTATTTTACATACAATTATTTATAGGACCTTAAATTGTGTCCATTATACACGGATTTCCATTATAAGCAAGTTCATTGTAAGTGGATTCCACAGTATTTAGATGATCGGGAAATAGCAAGCACCCATTTTTCACTGAAATGCGCCAAAAGCAAGGCCTAAGTACTTTAGCATCCAAACGGCAACATACAAGGGTTGCCTGAATATAAGGTACCCAAAGAATTCCATCCACACTGGAGGGTGCTAGGTATAACTCGGCAAACGCACATTCTTGGCTCAGCAGCTGTTCCCTATAGGGGTTCTTATTGTTGATGCCGCTATGTGCGAGATGCATTCCATTAACTCGGTTTGTGCATGCCAAATGGACTCCACCCGTCGATATTCATCATCAGTTGACAGCAGGGGCGTAGCTACCGGGCTATAAATGTGTTATATGAAAAAAATGCACAAGTTGTTTTTCACAGTCTCAAGTTTTTAGGCCGTATGCTAAATTGAATATTCTCAAGCGCTGAACCTTAGATCGTACGGCTTTGTGATAGTAGCGTGTTTCCTATTTATAACCCTCTGGATTGCAACAGCAACAGCTGAAGTAAGTTTTTCAAAATGAAAAGTTATTAAAATATCTTTGGACTTCTATGAGGTAACTTTGTCTATAAAGGATTTTCAAAGGCTGAATATTTCGAGACACTAAAATCATTCTCTGCTAAAAGATAATTGCAAGTAGACTGACTCTGTACTCCCAAGCATTCACCTATGCCTATTTTCAAATTTTCCGAATATACCCTATCCTGAAGCAATCAGAAATGATGGAAGCAAATTTCCGAAATTTGCGAAAATTGTAACCTGTCCACAAAGATGTTTGATTACCCTCACAAATTTCCAGAAAGTTGTAAAGCACACAAACACAAACTTTGGGACGATCTGCAAGGTATTTTAATTCTTATATTTCATTATCATCATGATTTATCATTATCATTATGATTATCGTTATCCTTATCCTTATCCTTATCGTTATCGTTATCGTTATCGTTATCGTTATCGTTATCGTTATCGTTATCGTTATCGTTATCGTTATCGTTATCGTTATCGTTACCGTTACCGTTATCGTCATCGTTATCGTTATCGTTATCGTTATCATTATCATTATTATTATTATTAGTATTTATATTATAAACACAATAACCTTTATAAAGTTGTCACTTATGGCGGGTTTATACAACATTTTGATAGTGACACAGCCATAGACTCACTAATGCGCTTATTCAGCTTGTTATAATCATAGACATAAGCATAAGCCCTTGTTATAGGCGTAACAAGGCTAAGTTGATAAGATTCAACTTTTATGATCATAACTATGACTAATGCTAATGCTTATCCAAATGATGTATAAACTAGCACTAAATTTTAGAATTTTCCCAGTTTCCTCCTTCTCTGAATTTTCCATTGGCATCTCTATTTCACATTCAGATTTGAAAATACATTTTACATCTAAGGAAAAGATGGTTGGAGATGTCCTGGCTAAATCTATATTAACGATTTTGAATAACTATTGCAAACTTGTTTCTCCATTGGACAGCTGTCTTTAATTATATTTCACACACACACAGGCTTATTTGAAACTAGGGATTTATCAAGTCAAATAGCTTAATATTTTCGTAAAAATAAAATTGATTAGAGGTCAAGTATTTTCAAACTAATTGATACCTGATGGAAAATTATATTTTTGTTCTACTAAGGCTTTCACTGATATTTATTGGTACAACCGATGAGCCGTATTTTGTATTTTAATCCAAATAAACACGTAGAAAATCGAAAATTGTCACGTACACTGCTAACTCAAATGACGCATACAAACAGCGTTGCGAAACCAAAAAAAAAAAAAAAACGAGATCGATAGCTAGTGTCGGTGAAATCCTATAGATTCAAAGACAAAAGTGGTAGGAAGAACAAATCAGCTGAAGATGAAGCGCTTTTGCGTCACACAGCACCACCTAAGAAACGTATATTTTCATATAGTGCGGTCACACAACACAGATACACGGTTTTCTATAAATTTAAAAACAAATTTAAATCAAACTTTTTCAAATAAACAACTCAACAATTTTACATGTAGTACAAGTACAAAATATAATGTTCATACATCTGCATAGCAGGCGACTTGAATATAATTATTATGAGATAGGAGTTCATGATTTTCGCAATGAAAAATATGAAAAACGAGCTCGTGGATGAAGCACCAACTGGTACGGTAGGAGTAGCTCAAGAAAGCAGATGGATGACCACCGAAATTTTCGTGAAGTGGCTCCAGGATTTTCAAAGCTTTGTAAAAGCTAGTCATAATGAAAAAGTCCTTCTTATTGTCGATGGCCATGCCAGCCATAAGTCATTCGAAGCTTTGAACTTTGCCGAGGAGAATTGAATCGAAATTGTTTGTCTTCCTCCACACTGCACCCATCGTATGCAGCCTCTCGATGTATGCTTTTATGGACCGCTCAAGACGTATTTTAACCAAGAGATTTCTGTCTGGCTTAGAAATCATAAAGGAAGAGTGGTGACAGCTCTTCAGATCAGATATTTATTTAATCAAGCTTATGGAAAGACTGCTTCAGTCCAAAAAGTATGCAATGGTTTGAAAAACACTGGACTATGGCTAGTTAATCCAGATCACCTTTTTGAACCAGCTGAAACAACAAATATGCCAATAGCTTCCACAGCTGATAACTCAGACTCAATCCAGGATCAGAACCTTCCATCGTTGCCAATAGAAGCGGAGGCTGACGAGATTATGGCCCAGGAACAGAATAAGGCCCTGAATCTTTATCAAAGCTATCCACTATTTCTTGTAAACCATCTACTTCATCGGATTCTTTAGATGCAATAGCAGTCACTAATGATATTCATAACACACTGACTGGCCCGTTAGACATTTCCCAACCATCCACAAGTTCCTTTGCATCGACAAGTTCTTTAGCTGTTCCAATTAATGCCATTTCTCCAGTTCCCAGTGGTAAATTTGTAAGTGGACAGGGTAAACGAAAGCCAAAGAAACGAACGACAACATTTCTACTTACGTCATCACCAAATATGGCAGAATTAAAGTACAAACGAGAGATTGCAGCTGAAAGACCAACTCGTAAAAGGAAACAAGCAGTTACTAAGTGTCTTTACATTGATGATGACTCAGATGAAGAGCGCTCTGATCAAGAAGACGAAGAAGATTATTGTGCCTGTATTTACTGCAACGATCTCTACTCACGTCCAAAGCCTGTTGAGGGGTGGTTGCGGTGTAGGCGGTGCAGTCATTGGGTTCACTCAGCCTGTGCTGATTTGCCAAAGCGTACCAAAAAATTTGTTTGCGAATTGTGCAATTAATTTTTATTGTTATCTCTTATTTTATCATTTTTGTTATGTTGATGGCTGGGTATGTCATTTAGTCCATACGACTCGTGTCGTTTTGTCCATACGGTATGGACAAAATGGATTTTTCTTGATCTTCATTTAATACTAAACATTTTTGTAAGTGTTGATTTTTCTGACAAAATCTATATAATTCCTGTTAACCAATTAATATAAGCAAAGTTGTAAGAAAAAAATATGTTCTTATTATGAATAGTATTAGAGTTATTGATGATTAATAAAACGATATGTCATTTTGGATGTACTTTCCCTACTTGACGTCAAAATTAGTACTTGGCTTGATTTCCTTACGGTGTGTCTGAAGCTCTCTGGAAACCTTTTGTTATAAACCTTCGTAATATGTTCCTAAGCTATCTTATTAAAGTAGTAATTTTCTCTTCGGAGATGAAACTAATGGACAATGTCGAGACGTTTTCTCCTGGCGATGATGAAGAGTATGACCCGGGGTGCAACACTTCTGTCGAGAAAAGGGTGCAGTTCCTTGAAAAGTGATCGGACCACGCCTACTATCGATTGTTATTCTACTCCCTTTTTTTCAAGAACTTGTCTACTTGCATATCTATAGAACTCGACCGAGATGTAGCTAAGAGCAGACGACCAGCGAGTTAATCTAGCCGATCTAAAAAGTAGCTGCATCTTGGAAAAAAGCTTATATATAGTATAGAAACGAAATCTTTGGTATATCGGTAAAAAAGCATCAAGTATGAGACATGAGAGCATCACGTCAAGCTAAACCTTAGAAAGTGTAAAGTATTTCCTAGCTAACATTCTATTTTACCGTTTTCATCGCAGATTGAAGTTATTCCAACTAACTGACGTTTTGATATTTTAGCTGGTGTCGCCATTATTATAAAGATGATCTCCTCCCCATCAGAATTTTCATACGTAAAATATGAGCTTATCCTTTTTGGCAGGAGACCTTGCAAAGCGATGGCTTTTTTGGATTCCACGGGACATTCGACTTCCTTGGACACTTGATCTACACCGTCACATATGATGTCAAATGTTGGATTTGCACATTTGGACACCTATAAACAGAAAAAGGTTAGATATTGTAAGCTCCAAAAGGGACTACGTTTCGTTAGCCATAAACAAGAAGGAATACTGTACCCTACTGAACCTCAATCCATCCACAATTTGACTCAGCTTTTCCTTGACGACTGAGAGTTTTGGCAATCAAATTCAGCACGAAGAAACTCTGCCTTTTTAACATTCAAGTCTACGATTGTTAAATGAGGTTAAACATCAACGTATCCGATATTTTGATTACCAAACTGTCTAATAAGCAATACGCATAAATGATGTGATGTATTTTCCTGTAGTGTTTACCTCATAAAAAACAGACAACACAACACTTGTATCGCCAGAATCTGGATTTTCTGGTAGATGCACGAAATGTCCCTCTAAAGGAAACATACGGCCATTGATGACGTGGTCAGCCTCCCAGTGGAAATGAACGTTCTTCAGAATGTATCTACCTTCGGAAATACTGTCAGTTAGTTCCATCAACCAATATTAAAACTACTGAGTGAGGTCCATTCAGATGTGACCAGATTTATGACACACAAAAACTCGGGCTGTTGAAGTTTTAGGAACAAAATGTAAATTAATATTTTCAGAACCGCTTCAGATATTTCACTGATATTTAGTAAGTAGTGAAAGTTAATAAAGTTGCATATTTTTCAATGCAAAAACAATTTTTAGCTTCAACAGTAGCGTGCGTACGGGTATTGACTGTTTTTAAGAAAAAAATGGTACGCGAACGGTTTTTTGCCACGTAAAAATTATTTTTAAATTCCCCGTTCAATTTAAAACAAATGAAAAAAAATTAATTGTTTTCCTTCGATGCGCCACTTTTGAGTAAAAAAATAAAAACCGTTCTAAAGTCGGAGAAAATTAATGTAATAATTGAAGAATGCAACTTAGCAATAAGTATCTAGTTGCTCTGGAGTATGTCACTGGCTTTTAACATCTGATAAGTCTCTGTTATTCAAATCTGTTCGCTGTGACATCTTTTTCATTATTTAGTTTCTTGTTAATAATGGTGAATTATTCAAATGCAGAAATGGCGGAAATGCATTACGTATATGGCCTTGCTTGTGGTAATGGTGAGCAAGCCAGACGGATTTATCACCAGAGATATCCCGATCGTGCTTTGCCAGATAATCGAACATTTTATAATATTCATCGTCGTCTTGTTGAAACTGGTTCTGTCCGAAAAAGAACATCTGACGGTAGACCTCTAAATGTGAGAATACCTGAAATTGAGGAAGCAGTGCTGCACGAAGTCGAATAACTTTCGGAAACGAGTACGAGGAAGATCGCTAGACACTTAAATATTTGCCATCAAACTGTTTGGAGAATTCTAGTGGATTTTTTGTTATATCCTTACCATATTTTAAGGGTACAAGCATTACTTCCCATTGATTTTCCAATGCGTGTGGCCCTTTGTCAGTGGTATCTCCAAAAAATTACACAAAATCCGCAATTTGAATCAATGATTCTGTTCACGGAAGAAGCTAATTTTTGTCGAAGTGCCACTCAAAATTTCCACAATAATCATTTGTGGGCAGAAGAAAATTCCTATGCCGTAACCGAAACCCATTTCCAACACCAGTTTTCGGTTAACAAAATTGGTTAACGTATGGGCAGAAATGGTTGGCAACCACTTTATTGCCGGGACGACTTGACGGACAGACTTACCTCAATTTTCTTCAACAATAGTTGCCTTTGCTGCTTGATGATGTTCCGTTAGTAATAAGAAACAACATGTAGTACATGCTTGATGGTGCACCAGCGCATTTCAGTGTAGTGGTTCGTAATTATTTACAAACTGTTTATTCAAATCGTAGGATTGCCCGCGGTGGGCCTCAAGAATGGCCACCAAGGTCCCCAGACCTGAACAGTTCAGATTTCTTTTTGTGGGGCTATCTTAAGACACTAGTGTACACAAGTCCCATTAACACTGTAGAGGTATTAAGAGAAAGAATAGTTGCAGCTTGTGGTAGAATAAAAAACACTCCAGGGATATTTCAACGAGAGCACAATTCCATGAGAATGAGGGCGGAAGCTTGCATACTAAGTGAAGGGGGTTTTTATTTTTTTACTCAAAAATGGTACATCGAAGGAAAAGAATTCAAGAAAGATTATAATATAATTATAAAGTCAATACCCGTACCCACGCCACTGTTAAAGCTAAAAAAATGTTTTCATTGGAAAATATGCAACTTTATTAACCTTCACTACGTACTAAATATCAGTGAAATATCTGAAGCGGTTCTGAAATTTTAATTAATCTCCATTTTTTCCTAAAACTTCAACACCCCGAGTTTCTGTAAGGAAACATTTTTGGACCATAGTTTATAAAGCAAACTAACATTAATTTTTCATGTAGATTCACACCCTTAAATATTCGCATATGATTAAGGAAAACCCTGTATAATAATGAATCCGAAAAGTATTTCTGATGATTTATTAGTTACGCTGTAAATTTTGTTGTCTATCCGATAACACATCTTGTCAACATGTCATTAAAATTCTTAAAACTGCACGAAAGGAGCCAATTTTCAAAATTGGTAAGAAGGATGATATGATATAAGCAACTATAGGCCTGTTTCTTGTTTGGTTGCAGTCTCGAAGACTTTAGAGCGAGCTATGTCTGAAAAGATAATAGCCTTCCTCAATGAGAAAGATGTTTTGGCACACCGTCGGCATGGCTATACTATAGTTCACAAGTAAATTGTATGAAAGTTTTATGAGGGAGAAAAGTGCACAGGACTGTTCATGGATCTGAGTAAGGCCTATGATATTATGGTCAGTCATCAAATTCTGAGTTAGGAGCTTGATGATTATAGTTTACGCGGGAAATACACGATTGAGTCATATCTTGCTCTATGGGAGCAGACTGTGGATGTTGATGGATGGTATTCGTTACGACGTGATGACGAGATTCGTCTAGCTAAGGCTCGATCCTAGGCTCATTACTGTTTTTCCTTTTTGTCAGCGACTTGCCACGAGTAGGTATTATAACAGATGAGCGAATATGCATATTGACGATAACAGTTACCTCTGCCCTGAAAATAATATAGAGTCATGCATTGATAAACTACAACGCATAATAAATAAACTCACAAGCTATTTTTCTAGTAGTCAACTATCGCTTAACGCAAAAAACACTGTCTCCATGAATTTAAAGGTACGTTTATACTAGAGATTTTATTCCTTGCATTTCTCTCTGCAATAAAGTATATCAAATGTAAACCTTGGTGATAGAAGCTAGGCGAGATTTATTCGAATAGCTGAGAGAAAATGATCGAGACAAAATGTCGTAAATGTAAACAACGCTGAGACAAGTCTCAACTAGTTTCTGATAGATCTCGCAGGAGTTGGCCGGCCGTCTACTTTTAGCAGTCTCTCGGGATACTTGTGCTGTTTATTTTACGTTGTAAGAGTGTTTACAATAGGTAAAGTGTCAGATAATAAAAAAGAATGGACACGTGCAGAAGTGACCGATTTAATTGCTTGCTATGAACAACACCCTTGTTTGTGGAATGTACTTTCCAATGAATATAAAAATAAAATAATAAAATCAGATGCCTTTAAAAAAATAAGTGAAAAATTCGGGACCAGTGAGGAAGAAATTACTAGAGAAATCCATAGCCTCCGGAACCAATTTAATACGGAATTAAAGAAAATTAATTCTAAAAAATCAGGACAAGGAAGTGGTGACAATTATGACACAAAATGGCCTTATTTAAAAAATTTATTGTTTATAAAAACTAGTTTACAGACACGACAAACAACTGGAAATATGGTAAGTACATATGTTATTTTTTGCAAATATGTAGTACTCTGGGCTACTTACAGATTTTTCTCCTTTTTTACATACATTTGAACTGCCAAGAAACTTCTCCGTCTGGTGAATTAAAATAATCTCTAAACTTATCTCGAATTTTCTTCGCAGTATTACAGTAATTATTAGATCCCTGTTGGGGAAGGGGTAGCAAATTATTATCTGGAAGTCCCTCAATTCTCCAACTACCGGGTACAATTTCACCATTGCCATCTTCTCTGTCAAATACATTATCTGTTGCATAAAATTTTCATGAAGATTTTTTTGTCATCACAAAATTATGTAACGTACATACAGCTAATATAACAGAATCCGTTCTTTCGGGCTTAAGAAGGACAGGCTTTCGTAAAACACGAAAAACGCTTGATACTATGCCGAAAACATATTCCACCATTCACCGTGCCCTCGAAAGCCTATAATTATAAATTCTTGCGGGGCCTGGTATATTTGTTGTACTATAAGGTTTTATGATATACTCTTGAAGTGGAAAAGCGTCATCTGCGACGACTATGTGGGGTACCGCTAGTCGTCGTCCAGGCAATGGCTTCTTTGGTAGATTTATACCACTTCACTGGATTATACCAGGCATAGCACTAGCAGCAAAAAAGCCCCCATCGGAAATACGTCCATTGCATCCAATATCGACAAGTAAAAATTTGTAATTGGCGACTACCAATGCCAAAAGTACCACGCTGTGAAACCCTTTGTAATTAAAAAAAATAACTCCCTGAATTTGGAGCCGCTTGTATGGTGTCGTGTTTACCGTCTAATGCACCTCTGCAGTGTGGAAAATTCCACGTTTTTTCAAAATCATAACCATTCTTCATTTGTTGTTGGCATCTGTAATATACTAAGTGACATATAAATCCGAACACCCAGTTAAATGCTTTTATTTTAAGGAAATTTTGTATAAGTACTTAATGAAGCATAATAAGTAAATGATAAATTATTAAAGTTTCAAAATGATTGCACTGCTTTAAAGCCCTTTGACCTTTAATAATGTGTGGATGCACCCTGATGTGCTACGCATTCTGCAACGCGCCTAGGCATGCTTCTGATCAGGTGGTCAATGTCCTCCTGTGGTATCTCATTCCAGGCAACCACCAACTCCTCTCGAAGTGCTTCTAGAGTCTGAGGAGGACGTTGCAAATTGAGCAATCTCCTACCCATCATATCCCCCACTCGTGCTCAATTGGCGATAAGTCGGGAGATCTTAGTGGCCATGGTAACAATGTGACATCATTATATTGAAAGAAGTCTATTGTGACTCTTGCAACATGTGGTCGGGCATTATCTTGTTGGAAAGTTGGATCTGCCAGGGTGTCAAGATAGGGTAAAAGATGGGGTTCTAGAACTTCGTGGATATAACGCTGCGCGTTCATGTTACCTCTGATGAAGATTAAAGGTGACCTAGAACCATAAGCTACAGCACCCCAAACCATAACTCCAACAGTGTGATGAACATTTCTTTCAACAAAAAACTGTGGATTCCTCCTTTCACCACGTCGCCTTTTAACCCTGGCACGACCATCGTGCATGCCTAAACAAAATCGAGACTCGTCACTAAAGACAATACTGTTACATTCCTGATCCCAGAGTGACCGTTGTCTGCACCACTCAAGGCGATTACGTCGGTGTTCTCGAGTTAAAGGGAGGACCCAGTGTGGCCGGTATGAAAACAAGCCAAAACTTCTCATTCGTCGGTAAACACTTCGCATGCCAATAGGTCTTCCGTGTTCTGCAAACCATTCATTTGCAATGAACCTGGTAGTGGAGAAACAGTCCCTTAAGGCCAATAATCTTAGGCGGCGATCTTCACGGTCTGTTGTTCTACGGCGCCGTCCAGTGCCCCTTGCTCTTTGCGTACGGCCTTCTCGAAGCCATGCCTGACAACACCTAACCACAGTGTCTACACTTCTGTGCACTCTAACTGCAATTGCCCGAAAAGAAAGTCCAGCTTCCCGAAGTCCCACTATACGGTCCCTATCATCGTACATCGTAACCGATCATAAAGGATGTCAAGAACCAAAATCCGCCAACGTTGATTGTATACTGCGGCTGAAATATTCATTTTTAGAGCGTTAGTGAATTAAAAAAAAAGCAGTATAAAAACCGGAATGTCCAACTGATAAGGCTGAAAATTTTTTCACTTGTTATTTACAGTAAGATAAATACATTCACCAACTTTTATTAAAATAAAACCATTTAAACTGGGTGTTCGGACTTATATGTCACTTAGTATATAAAATAGAATAGCATTAAAAGACAATTCTTTTTAGGGTAAATTTAATTATTATAATGCAAACATGTTGCATGCACACGTGTTCCCTCGCCAGAGTCCGTGAGGCGTAACCCCTTTCCCATGTATCCCCATATAGCGCCACGGTACCTAATGGGTGCTTAGGCCTTAGGCCTTCGTGGCAGTTGGAGTATAAAAAAAAAACTTTATTTCTATTTTTAGGAACAATGTGATGAAGGGGAAAAAGCTCTCTCAACATCTTTGGAGAATATAAATGAAGAAAGCACGTCTGACTCCATCAAAGAAAAAACCCAAGAAACCAGTAAGCCGGTGAAAAAGAAAGCGAAGATAATAGACGATAAGGAGGAATTACTTGCGAAAGCACGAAGCGCACTTTCAAATGATGAGTATGATATCTTCAGTTCGTTTATTGCTGGTGAACTTAGGGCATTGGGTCACGATTTATTGAAAAGAAAATTAAAGAGAGGGATTCAGAAACTCGCTTTGAAAATTGCAGAGGAGGATGAAGAATTGAGTTCCTTGGTACAATTTTCAAATACCCCATCGACTTCCACTACATCAACTTTTGACTACAATCCTCCATCCAATTTAAGTCAGAGCTCTGTGTATACTGTGCCAAATGAGTATACTGATTTCTGGTTTATTACATCAATAATAATTGATTCTAGTAAGCAATTAATGTAGAGTCCATTTAGTTTAATAAAGGTTTCTCTAATTTAAAATCACCTACCTTTAAATAATCCTTTAAGCCAATAGCAATGGCTTGACACACTTCATAAACTATACCCGATATTGCAGACTTTGATATGCGAAATAGATAGCTCAAACTAATGTAGCTGTCACTTAAAATTTATTGTTTTTTACCTCTGCTATCACAGAAAAATAAAACGTTCATACCTGTGGCTAAATATCTTAAGGTGACAAGCACCCTTTTATTAACTGAAATAGCTTCTCTCATTTTGGTGTCATTTTTTTGGATCAATGGCCCCACCAAATTTATTAAATTATCGATATCTGTTGACGACATTCTCGCGAAATTTTGTAATTGTATTGGATCTTCAACATTTAGCTCATTAATTAACTGAGTGTAAGCCCCTGAAGTACCTCTTCTCAATAACCAGTTCTTCACCCACACGTTCTGTTTCCTTCTTTTTTTATCGTCCAATAATAAAATTATTATTGCAGCAGCCTGACGTTTACTACAAGCCATATTAAAATTTTAACTGAAACTAGATGGTAGACGGACAGAAAAAGTGTCGAGAGATCTTAATTCTCTATGTGTCTAAACAGAACAGCAGTTTATATCAGAATTTCCTCTCAACTAGAGGTATCAGGTATTTTATTGCCTGGCACTTAAGTCGTAGTGAAAACTTGCAAGGAAATTTATTTCTCGATACCTGAGATATCTATAATGATATAAATCTCTAGTATAAACGTACCTTTACTCCTCGTTCCACATCAATCGATGAGAGCCAGTTAATCAACGTCAATGGCTAGTCGTTTGTTCAAGTAACAAATACAAAATTTCTATGAATTCATCTTGATCAGTGGAAGCACCACAGAAGCAATGGTTTCAGATCCACTAACAAAATCATGATTTTTGCCCGGAAAATCGCCAAAATTCGAAAAAAACCGCATTTTCACTGGCTTTCTCCGATTTTTGTAATTTCAAACGTAGGCTATCATGATTCGCCTGACTAAAAAATTTGACAGACATGTATTTTTGTCCAATCCTTCAGGTTCCATAGTCAACATTTTGATCTGTCCCCGAAAATTTGCGAAAATAGGAATAGCCGCCTTTTCGCTTCAATTTTTGACGTTTTTGGTAGGGAAAGAAATAAATCACTAACACAGTACCCCTTTGTGTATATGTATTTTTTTCTACATTCTTGTCAGCTGTGTTGTACAAATGATGATTTCTTGTTCCGGAAATCGCCAAAATAACCTAAAAACGATAATTTCACCGATTTTTTCAATGAGCCATATTCATAAAAGAGAAGCATATCCTCGGAAGCATAAGGTAAAAGTATAATGGGTGATAGGTGAGTGAGTTCTCAGAAGTAGCGACTCCATATTGTAGCGAGTAACTACTCCTGTTAGGGAGAGCCTACTCGGTTTTGATATGCATAAAATATTTATCGAGAAACGGAGAGGCTACTCAAGTTCTAATGAAATTCTTGAGTAGGCACTCTGGTTTTCGAGTTCCGACTTGTATTTTGTTGTCTCGCCGAATTGGCAATTTCTCTATTGCGAGCAGTTACTACTGTATATACGTTTGTGTCGGTGGTGTTTAGGTCGATTATTATTTGTTCATTTACATGATGTCAACCTATTCTGAAGACCATTCATCTGAAAATCAAATAGTATTTGTTAATATAATTAAACATCCCGGAAATCAAAAATAAACGACGTAAGGCGGTTGAAGAAATAAAAGAAAAGGTAGAAGCCGAATTAGGAGTTAAATATAATGAAGGGCAGATTTGGAAGACGGTTCAAAACATAAAAACCAGATTAAATTTAGATCATACTAGATACTTACTTAGACCCGAAAGCCATGAAGAGTTCTTGACATTGCATCTCTTCTAAATTGACCTCTCTGAGGTATCACTCCATTTGCATAGTCGGCAGTATGTTGGTTATGTATTTCTTCTTGTTCGCCATCTCCCGGTATATAAACAGCAAAATCTTTATCATTAAGGTGCTTAGCCACATTATGCAAGATAAAACATCTCATTGTTCTGATGTTTCTGCAATCCTTGTTTTCAGTCATGAGCCAAGAAGCTATACCATACCCAGAGTCTCCCAACAAAACAGCACTAGCCCTATTTCATTTGATAACGTTGTTTATATCAGAATTCTTCCATATCCGAGAGTCGTGTACAGATCCTGGCCAAGAAACATCCACACTTGTGAACTCTTCGTTTGAATTGCACGTTGCTTGTACATTTATACTAGCAAAGTTCTTTCTGTTCACATATTTGTCGGCATGCATAAACGGCTTCAGAATAGGTATATGGGTGCAGTCGATAGCACCAATAGCTGAAGGAAAATTGAACGTTTCTTGCCACTTATTTTTAGCATTGTGTAGATCTTCACATGAGGTTGGGAAGAATCTAATCCAAATATTCGACTTCTGCACAATGCGTGTTATAACGTTGGTAACGGTTCGGGATTCCGTAGATTGATGGACACCAATATCTTCTCCTATGCCAATTTGAAATCCTCCCACGTATCGTAAAAAACCCTCATTCTTTCGATATTGCTCAAAGCACCGCCCCTATATTCTTCTGTCTCTCCAAGAAAATTGTTACTTTTTTAACTTACTTATTTTAACTTTACTAAACCGATATAAGGCCCGATAGTCTACTTCCCTTGATTCCCTACGATCTTTGAACACCTTTGCAGGCATAAATTCGGCCATTTCGTGAAGACATCCACTTCTTATAAAGCTGAGTCTACTATCATTTATGCATATCACCCAATGGGCGAGTGGCTACTTTTGACTCGCATTTTTAAAGTAGCCACTCCATTTGATATGCATAAAATTGTAAGTAGAAGCTCACACTCATAAGTTTCTACTCTTTCAGTGAGGCTGTACTCGCTCCTTGAGTGCCGACTTTAATTTTTATATGCATAAAAGCGAGCGTCCACTCCGACCGCTGAGTACATACTTAAAGAAATGCGAGATACCTTAGTAGTAGACTCAGCTTTATAAGAAATGGATGTCTTCACGAAATGGCCGAATTTATGCCTATTTATCAGCCTACGAAGGTGTTTAAAGATCGTAGGAAATCAATGAAAGTAGACTATCGGGCCTTATATCGGTTTAGTAGAGTTAAAATAAGTAAGTTTAATAAGTAACCAGTTTTTATGTTTTGAATCTCCTTCCAAATCTGCCCTCCATTATATTTAACTCCTAATTCTGCGTCTACCATTTCTTTTATTTCTTCAACCGCCTTACGGCGTTGATTTTTGATTTCCGGGATGTTTAATTATATTAACAAATACTGTTTGATCTTTAGATGAATGGTCTTCAGAATAGGTTGACATCATGTAAATGAACAAATAATAATCGACCTAAACACCACCGACACAAACGTTTACCGGTATACAGTAGTAACTGCTCGCAATAGAGAAATTGCCAATTCGGCGAGACAACAAAATACAAGTCGGAACTCGAAAACCAGAGTGCCTACTCAAGAATTTCATTAGAACTTGAGTAGCCTCTCCGTTTCTCGATAAATATTTTATGCATATCAAAACTGAGTAGGCTCTCCGTAACAGGAGTAGTTACTCGCTACAATATGGAGTCGCTACTTCTGAGAACCCACTCACTTTTATGCATATCACCCAATGTCTTGCTTCGGAAAAAAGTTAGAAGTATAAGTATATCCTTGTTTTCATATTCATAATGGTTACCTTATACTCGCGAAGATATCCTCCAAGATGAAGTAAAAGGTTGACTGGTATTTGTATCTTAAACGACATGTCCTGACTTGTTCCAGCTTGTAGTTGACGTGGGAGTTCGTTCACTCAGCATCACTGACAGTTATACTCCAGAGCTTACACAGACCGTTCCGTATTTTTACTGGATACAGTTTTTTATCAAATTAATAAGCATGCCATCCTCAAGTGACGAGAAAACTAGAGAAATTAATGGCAACGTCCTGCAGTTCATCGCAGATGAAATTGCCATTGCTCCCATTATTTTGCAAAAGTCGCAAGTTCCAAAAATAAAAATGAGAAAGGACGATGTTGAAAACATACGAATCAACATTCCGTAAACCATTAGATACTAAAGGCTTATTAAAAAAAATCAAGTACATGAAATCAATATTGAAGAAAAAACAGACCTAAAAAAAAACTGGTAATAAAGCAATTCAATTGTTGGTTTCTGGAAGAAAGTTGCTGAAAGCTATGGAAGGTTACTGAAATCCTACAATTGCAAAAATTAGAGCTGCCATTCAGGTTGATAGTGTTTAAGAAGAAGGAAGTGAACTATACACCGAGCAGTGAGCAAACAGTTAGTATTACAGCTCCAGCAATTCGGAAGACATTGCCACCAAAAAGAAAATTAGCAACAGAGAAATACCAAACTGAGGAAACCAAAGGGTTAACTACAAAAGAACTGCAACGTCTAGTGCTATTACAGCAATAACAAGTATTTTACAACAAGAGTATTATAAAACGAAATTAGAAATGATGCAGCATCAGAAGCCATCTGTAACTTATGATGTTCACGAAAATAAAACTTATTTTAACTTATAAATACACTTTACTCAGTAAAACTATTTATTATAATACTCAAGTTTCTTCGTATTTGTTGGTGGACAGGAAGTTCGTCATTATCATGATTTCCTTCATCTTCATCTGGGTCTTGTTCGACTAACTCAAAGTCAGGATCGCCCAAGCTCTTCGCAGCATTATGGAGTACAATACAAGCAATAATTATTTTCGGCACATTTTCCAACTTTACGCGGCAAACATACTATTGGATAGGAAACCGGCGTTTCAGTTGGCCGAAACAGCGTTCAGTTATAACTCTTTCTTGTTTTAAAAGCTTATTATAATTTATTTCTGTACCTAGAGTAGGATTTCTGAAGGGAGTCATAAGGCTTGGCTCAATACCATAACCGTCATCGCCAAGTAGAACAACATTTGCTTTATTTATTAGTTTTGATCTAGTCTGACATTAACATCTCTCTGGCATCACCAATTGCTGTCGGAAATGTATACATGCTTTGCCATATCCGCTTGGCCTTCATCAGTTCATGGTTGGTAGTTGGAAACTTGATCCATTCGTTCGACTGTGCAACTATGCTGTTCAGAACTCTATCCACAGTCCGAGATACCATTGCTTGACTAACACCAAGTTCCTGACCAATACCTTGTTGATATCCAGGGTCATTTTATGAATACATGAAAATGCTCCTCCTGGAGTTTCCTCATTCTCAACTTAAAATCTGTCCGCAAGCCATTGTACATTTGCTTCGTCGAACCAATATAATTTTTTGAAGTCACGACCAAGTGAAGGTAAACGACGTTTGTCCGTTTCAACATCCCTAAAATCCACAATTTCCGCCATCATCGTTTGACCACCTTTCGTTACGAAGATGAGTCTGCTACTGACCGCACTCAGAATTTTTGAAGGATATGCTTCCTATGCCAAGTATAAGGTGAAGTTTATGAATATCCTTTTACTTATGTCACTGCTTTGAACGATATGCTTATACTCAAAAAGCAAAATCATTCACTTCAAATTATTATAAATACCATCTGGAGGATTTCCTTCGAAATTTGCAAGTACAAGGATATCCTTTGTTTTATGAATACGGCTCAATTTCCGACATTTTTAGAGTAGAATATCATAACGTTTCATACTCAAAAATTCATTCCACATATACATGTGTGTATAGCTTTTGAGTTCGCCAAACATCCCTTTACTAACCTAACATGTCAAAAATTGAAGAAAATCAGCGAAAATCCTTTTTTCGCAGTTTTCCAGACCACGAATCACAATCTTGACAATGGAATCTGAAATAGTGGGCGAAAATACATATGTACATTTTATCAGCCAAGTTATGATAAAAATATTTAAATTTGATAAAAACCAGTTTAAATGAGGTTTTTCGACATTTTGGTGAGTCTCCCGACCAGAAACAATGATTCCAACAAGGTCAAGTCAAGTGTTTATTTTCTGAGCTAGAATGCAAGAGAATCAGCGAAACTACGGTTCTTCCTGTCGATGGAATCTGAAAGAATGCACTAAAATACACATGTGCATTGAGAGTTTCATCAAGCTTATGATGTACTCGAAAAGTACCTAAAACTGCAAAAATCGGTGAAAATACAGTTTTTCCGAAGTATCGTGATTTTCCGGACAGGAGATCATAATTTAATAACGGAATTCAGAATAACGCAAAAGAGGCATACATAGGCTATCAGGTTAGGCAACTATCTCTTTCATAACCAAAAGCGTTAAAAATTTAAGAAAATCAGCAAAAATGTGGTTTATTCAATTTTCGCAATTTTCTAGAAAACAAATCAAAATTTTGATTGTGGAACCTGAAAAAAGGACAAAAGCACTTTGTGTATTTTAAAGTGAGCCGACTTATGATACCCTGAGTTTGAAATGTCAAAAAATGGAGAAAATGGTGAAAATGCGGTTATTCCGAGTTTTGGCGATCCTCCGGGCAAAAATTCATGATTTTGTTAGTGGATACAAAAAGAACGCAAAAAGCACTGATATATAGTGGATTATTTAGTTTACGAAATTTCCATTACATAATCGAAAAAAGTTTTTTTGTCGAACCTATACGCATCGGGAACTCCATAGATAGATTTTTCAAAAAGTATGCATATGATATTTTTGAAAATTTGTGAGTATACTAATGTCGATGGGCAACGACAGCTAAAATATTTTCAAGATGGTGGCATAGCGGAAGTTGATGCCAACTTGCTTATTTCAAATTGGACACCGTATACCGTTTTTGACATATTTCAAATATCATGTTAAAAGTGCAGGTCCTAAAATAATTGTTAATTTCTCCTATGTACTGTTTAATGTGGGTTGATTTTCTGGTGAGCAGGGATATGGTTTAATAGACTTTGTATGATATTTCGATAAGCATTGATAAAGGGTGGTCAAAAAATTAGTATAAAATTGGATGTGAAAAATTTCAAATCAAATCAAGCATTAAAAATTAGCGTCACTTTATACAGGGTTATCTATCCCAAAAAAAATTTCTTTTTCGATTAATTTGCAATTTATTACTTTTCAACTCTGAACTCCTATAAGTACAGATTTAGTTTTTAAATTAGTTGGCTATGACGGCGGGACGCGGAGAACAAACAATTGCGCTCTACAAAAACGTCACTTTATAATAATGTCCTGCATATGACAGTTTATTTATAAATTATTAATAATAATCATGCTCGAGCGTTTAAATTTCACTTACGAAGATTATTTCAATTTATTTATTATTTATTATATGGTGAATGCAACAGAGAGATATCAAGAACATGCTTATAGAAACCCAAAAAAAAAGAAGACCGGACGCACATACGGCTTAACGAGCAATAGAAGAATTCAATAATTTCAGTTGTGTGAAGAATAAGATTCCAAGGAATAAACCTTTAGTTAACGATAAAGCCATTGAAATAGCAGTTTGGGGTATGCCTTTCCAATGATGTTTTTACGACAAGCTGCACGAGAGTCAGGTTTTACGAAAGATACCATTAGCAGAATTTTGCACAAACACAATTTTTATCCATACAAGCTATCCTTAGTCCAACAATTAAAGAAAACAAATTTTTTAAATGAATTCAATTTTGCAAATTGATTATTACAAGGTATCAAGAAAATGATTCTTTCCTGAAAGATATTATAGGTATGGTCAGATGAAGCAACATGAACCAAAAGTGGTCTTTTCAATCGACAACTCTCACTATTGCGCTAATGAGAACCTACATGTAATAAGAGAAAGAAGCTTTGAAGACAATTGCCAATTCAATGTATCCTGTGCTGTCAGAGATAATCAAGTTTTCTCTCAGTTTTATGAAGAAAATTTAAATGGTAAGTTAGCAATTAACAGTTTTTGTATAATAGAAGCTGATAAGAATGTACAATATGCAAATACTAGTAGTAATAGTTTTTTAACACATAAGGTCAGCATTGCCAACATTAGTACTGATTTACCTCATTTAAAAATATTTGGATATTAAAGAAAACGTTATGCAGTTATAAAAATTATTATTATTAATACCCAACAATATTTTTAGGAGAAGATTATTTGAACATTCTTCGGAATTTAGAATACAATTACTTGGATAATTTACCACTTGCAGATCATCGAAATGTATGACGGTGCCAAACCCCACAACGGATACTCAATAAGCAATTTCTTAGAACCTACGTTTTACGATCAAGGGTTTGCTAATAATGGACCATTCAAGTGGCCACCCTGTCCGCCCGATCTAACAGTCTTGGACTACTTTATCTGGGGGACAATAAAAAATATTGTTTACCAGAACCCACTGACCACTCTAAAGGACTGTAAGCAGAGAGTAAGAAATGCATTTGCTAGTTTGAGTCTGGAAATCATAAGAATTGCCACTCATCAGGAGTTAATACGTAGATGTTTTAAATGTCTGGGAGTTAGGGGTGGACATTTACTAAAATAAGTTGTTTGTTGTTATATTTTAATTTTGTTTTATAATAGTATGAAAGTTAAATATAAATCGAAATTGCTTATTGTTTCCTGTTATTCATTTCACTGTATGTGTACTTGTTTGGAAATCTACTATCAAACTTATCATAACTAATCTTCATATTATTCTGATTACGAATACATGAAAATTATTAATTATATTATTATTAAAAGCTTAAAATTAGACGTAGTGGTCTTTCTGTAGTGCTCAATTGTTTATTCTCTGCGTCCTGCCATCATAGGCAACTAATTAAAAAACTTGTACTTACCTATAGGAGTTTTACAATAGAAAAATATTAAATTGCTAATTACTCGAAAAGTAAACATTTTTGGGATATTTAACCCTGAATTAAATTATGCAAATTTTTAATGCTTAGTGCGATAAACTTATAAAAATAGAGGGTTTTAATTTGAAAAACTAGACTTTTGGCAATTTTTAATACTCAATTTTTATACTAATTTTTTGACCATCCTGTATAAATTATTATCGAAATATCATACAAAGTCTATTAAAGTGTATCCCTGCTTACCAGAAAATCAATCCACATTGAACAATAAGATGTTGTGCTACATACGGGAAATGAACAATTATTTTAGGGCGTACAAACATCATTTTTGACTTGAGTATAGGAGATTACATGAAATGTGTTGAAAATTTTATGTAGAATCCGAATATTGAGTAATATACACCAATTTAAAATAAGCAAGTTGGCATCAACTTCCGGTATAACCGGAAGTGCCACCATCTTGAAAATGTTTTACCTGCCGTTGCCCCATCGACATTAGTATACGAGTACTCCCAAATTGTCAAAAATATCATATACCTACGTTTCGAGAAATCTATCGATGGAGTTCTCGATGCGACACCCTGTATGTATCACATAAAAGATCACAGTTATGTACGATATGACAATGTAGCAACAGTAATTTGTTCAAAAATGTCTGAGGAAAATGGCGTCCGTAAAATTATTTTCAAAAAACGCTTTTTTGAGGGACCTAGGAACGACCTACCGATCTGAAAATTTGCCTTGACCCAACATGCCTTGTTTGGATTAATCCAGATTTTGATACTTTTGGGGCAACTTTGATATGTAGTTTCGCCTACAGCCTTTACATTCAACTTATTAAATTCAGCAAAAACTGCGAAATGAACATCTGTTAGGGCTCTAATGCCCCTGGAGCGTATTGTACTACACCTAACTCAATGATTACCTTGAAGCAATGATCCACTTATAGCGGGCAAATCACCCTGTTCGCATTCCTCGTCATCCGACCTAAGATCAATTTTGATGGAATGGCCCGTATTTTCTACGAAAACGGTGTACATAGAACTGTAATTGTGCAGCACCAAGGGCGGAAAAATCTTAGGTAACGAAGACTCTTTGTAGATTTCAACAAATCTAGAGTTGCGTCCACCTCCACCGTTCACATATTTCGGCACCCAACCTGGTGAGATAACGTTTTGGACAATCAACTTGAATTTATACAATTGAGATATTCCTTCCAACAGCAACATGGATTTCGACTTGCCCGACACCCTACAGAATAAAAAATTGGACTAAGACATAATTTTGAATTGGTGACAAGCAAAAGGAGTTGTCAGGTCTTGTCAAAGTGATAAAGAAAGAGAAGGTTATAGAATTGTTGTAGAGGAAAGTAAATACAACTTTTCGCATCAAAGCTTGTATACCGGATGTCTAACACTGAGATGGCAAGGATATACAGGGTATTCCATAATGATATGCAAATATTTAAGGGTTTGAATCCACATGACAAATTAATGTTAGTTTGCTATGGTCCAAAAATGTTTGCTTACAAAAACCCGGGGTGTCGAAGTTTTAGGAAAAAAATGTAAATTAATCAATATTTTTAGAAGGGGTTCAGATATTTCACTCATATTTAGTAAGTAGTGAAAGTTAATAGAGTTGCATATTTTTCAGTGCAAAAAGAATCTTTAGCTTTAACAGTGGAGTGAGTACAGGTACGCTAATGGTTTGCCAAACAAAAATAATTTTTGAATTCCCCGTTCAATTTAAAACAAATGTTCTCTAATGAATTGTTTTCTTTCGATGCGCCATTTTTGAGTAACAATAAAAACCGTTCTATTGTCCGAGAAAGTTAATGTAATAATTGAAAAAGGCAATTTAGCAATAAATATCTAGTTGCTCTGGAAGATGTCACTAGCTGTTAACATTCAAATTATTCAAATCTGTTTGCTGTGACATATTTTTCATTATTTAGTTTTTAAAATCTTGTTAATAATCGTGAATTATTCAAATGCAGAAATGGTGGAAATGCATTACGTACATGGCCTTGCCTGCGGTAATGGTGAGCAAGCCAGACGGATTTATCACCAGAGATATCCCGATCGTGCTTTGCCAGATAGTCGAACCTTTTCTAATATTCATCGTCGTCTTGTTGAAACTGGTTCTGTCCGAAAAGGAACATCTGAAGGTAGACCTCTAAGTGTGAGAACACCTGAAATTAAGCAAGCAGTGCTGCACGAAGTCGAAGAACATCCTGAAACGAGTACGAAGAAGATCGCTAGACACTTGAATATTTGTCATCAAATTGTTTGGAGAACTTTAGTGGATTTTTTGTTATATCCTTACCATATTTTAAGAGTACAGGCATTACTTCCCATTGATTTTCCAAGGAGTGTGACCTTTTGTCAGTGGTCTTAAAAAATTACACAAAAACCGGAATTTGAATCAATGATTCTGTTCACGGACGAAGATAATTTTTCTCGAAATGCCATTCAGAGTTTCCACAATAATCATTTGTGGGCAGAAGAAAATCCCTATGCCGTAACCAAAACCCATTTCCAACACCAATTTTCCGTTAACGTATGGGCAGAAATTATTGGCAACCACTTTATTGGCCCATTCTTCTTGCCGGGACGACCTGACGGACAGACTTACCTCAATTTTCTTCAACAACAGTTGCCTTTTCTGCTTGATGATGTTCCGTTAGTAATAAGAAACAATATGTGGTACATGCATGATGGTGCACCAACGCATTTCAGTGTAGCGGTTCGTAATTATTCACAAACTTTATCGAAATCGTTGGATTGGCCGCGGTGGGCCCCAAGAATGGTCACCAAAGTCCCCAGACCTCAACAGTTTAGATTTCTTTTTGTGCGGCTATCTTAAGACACTAGTGTACACAAGTCTCATTGACACTGTAAAGAAATTAAGAGAAAGAATAGTTGCATCTTGGGATAGAATAAAAAACACTCCAGGGATATTTCAACGAGTGCGCAATTCCAAGAGAAGGAGGGCGGAAGCATGCATACTAAGTGAAAGGGGCCATTTTCAACAATTCTTATGTTTATGTTGTTAGTTGTTGTTGTTGTTCATTACCCCTAATGTATTTGATTTGTCCAATTATATTAATAATAATTTTGCAAGTTAGACGATAGAACGGTTTTTATTATTTTACTCAAAAATGGCGTATGGGAGGCAAACAATTCGAGAAAGATCATTTGTTTTAAATTGAACGGGAAATTCAGAAATATTTTTATTTGGCAAAAAACTATTGGCGTACCATTTTTTTCTTAAAAAATCGAAGTCAATACCCGTAAGCCCGCCACTGTTGAAGCTAAAAATTATTTTTGCTTTGAAAAATATGCAACTCCATTAACTCTAACTACTAACTACATATCAGTGAAATATCTGAAGCGGTTCTGAAAATTTTAATTAATCTCCATTTTTTTCCTAAAACTTCAACACCCCGGGTTTTTGTAAGGAAACATTTTTGGACTATAGTTTATAAAGCAAACTAACATTAATTTTTTATGTAGATTGACACCCTCAAATATTCGCATATCATTAATCATCAACACCCTGTAGAATACAAAATAACTTTTGACCAACACTTTCTCAGTTGCGAACTGTAATAGCTTTCTTGAGTAAATTTTGAACGACACTGTATGATTCAATGAAATTTTGACAGCTCACTGACCAGCAGATGCTCCACATGACAGTGCCCATATCCACGTAGAACAATACTCATTTAGATCACCAAGAATGGATTAGCCCTAACATAATTTTGTTGACTTGCTATGTATAACATGTCCCGAAAATGATATTTCCTTGTTTGATTTCAATAAATTTAGGCTCGTTTCAATGCTGTTCTTATTGATTGGCACTTCAAGCGATCTCCAAATAGTGCGAAAAAAATGTAAAACCCGCTTGAAAGATAAAAAGAAAGTGGGTAACAATAGAAGACCAAGCCGTAACATATTATCCGTACCTCTGGTACACTTAGATCTCCTAAGTGAAATTACTAGTTTTTTCTATTGTAGGGAAAGCAGCATTAAACAAAATTATTAGAAACGTGGAAATATTTGCGAAAAAGCGTTTAATTATCACGGAGGAGAGAAAATTCTGCAGATTGTGAAGAGAAAAGTATCCATAATTAAAAGAAGTGCAAGAGCAAGAACATACGATCATCTAATTATATAATCCCTCTCGAACATTTTAGATGTGACATAATGCGGCTTGCATAAGGCTCCAGCGACATATATTTGAAAAAATGTATACTTATGCAGTTTCTGAGAGTCTCAATTGAGATATATTCAACACAAGACAAACCAAGGGAGTCCGGTGCTACATTACTCATTATCAAAAAAATTTCATTTCCCTTTTGTGGTCAAAAATTAGGACTAAAGCTGTTTGTTTGTTGATGCAAACCTCGTCGACAAACCCTACTGAGGTATCTCAAGAAACTGGATGCCGAAGTAATAGCACCACATACGCATAACATCGCCATCCGTGGAATGAAATTGAGTTTGAGTTTGATGATGTGCAAAAAAATAAATACCACAGCTTTAATCGGGACGTAACATATCGTGTATTCCAAATCTGGCGCAAAAAAATCTTGTGGTGCACCAGAAATTTTCCAAATCAAAAAATGAATACAATTGAATAAGACATGCTAAGGTTTTTGCTTGGTACTTGCTACTTTTTTTTTAACAATGCATTGTAGATTTAACTAAAGATCCTTTAACGCATATGAATATAATGAAATGTACTAAATCGAAACCTACAATTCATACAAATATGGTTGGCGAATAGAAGGCCGATCTTTAACGACCTCTTTCATATCCTGAGCTTTTACGGATCTCTGACTGCAAATCTGCTTTCAAAATAAGGTGTTCTCAAAATGATCGAACCATCATGATAGTAATTTTATCAAGGTGCACTGAAAACATATTAACTGTTTTAAATGAAATCAGAAGGCGTATTTGAAGTAATGGATGTAATGAATATGGTCTATTTCTATCTCTCGAACTAGAGAAAAATTATACGATTTGTGTAAGATGGACATCGAATTCTTATACTACATTAAGAATTGCTTCTTAAATCACCCAGTTTAGCTAGAATAAAACCTATTTTTCATATATAATTGAATTACAACAAACATAAATACCCAATTCTTCAAATCCGTAGGATTCATACTTCTACATTAGGAATTGCTTCTTAAATCACCCAGTTTAGCTAGAAAAACCTATTTTTCATATATATTTGAATTACAACAAACATAAACACCCAATTCTTCAAATCCGTAGGATTCATACTTCTAAATAACAATAACAAAATTGGAGTCTATTGGTCAAGTAGTTTTTTGAGTATTTTTAATTGATTATCACAAAACACCTCTTTTCCGGCCATCACTACTAGTTTATTGAGCAATATACAGAGTTCATTCAAAGAGCATTTAATAGCAAAATACAAGTGTTTACCTTACCGATATAAATCGCAAACCATTCCGGAAGCTAAATGTTATTTTTATACGAAAAACAAAGGTTACATTTTTTTCTTCTAAACAAATGCAAACATTTCGTATTTGTGAGTAATAATTGAACAAATGAGTTACGATATTCGAAAAACGTTACTATACACATTTTGAAATAAAGCGGATGTGTCTCTCATCTTTTGTTGCGAATTATTCACAAATACGAAATGTTTGAATTTGTTTAGAGGGAAAAACGTAGCTCATCCTTTTTTGCATAAAAATAACATTTATATCAATAGGTGCTATCTCATTTAAATTCACGCAGTCGATGGTGCCGTCTTCCCATTTTACTATCACGTCCATGGTTTTTGAGGTTATGTGCAGACTGCAAAATTGATTCATTGAATTCAAATAAAAAATATTTATCACGCTCCAGCTTACCTTTTGCTGTAGACTTTAAACGTTCTTCAGATAAGCCTCAAACAAGATTTCTGCAAACATCATATTCTAACATAACAAAAGCAATCGAAGACGACTCTTAGCTCATAATGACATCTCTATTTCATTGTTTGAACTACTTAAATTAAGTTACCACTGAGAGAGTAGCAAAAAGTGGACACCGCATGTAGGCGTATCTTCATTTACGCCTATTTGCGGTGTATTGTATTTCATTTCTGAGAGATACGACGTTTAGTTTTATGCTGATATCTCTATGAGCGAACTACTTAGAGTTACGCCACTTTGCGGGATTGAAGATATGCTATACCTTGTTGATTTGAATCCGTTAACTCGAATTTGGTTTTTTGTCAGATACGCCTGTCTGCGGTATGGACGACGAGATAATGCGGCTTGCTTGGGACCTTGTAAACTAAGATACTTCCGCTTCAGCATGTAGGTCAGTTTTCCACTGATTGTTTCTGTATTGCACAACGTGCACAATGACAAAAAAAAATAAGATAGCTACCAATAAATTTTGGTACATACAACTGACCTGGCCTGTATACGTACCCCTTTCATTAACTACTCTGGGTACTGCCGACGAGTCGAGGCAAATGTGTTGTCAACGAGTTTTGACAAACACGACTATTTTACCACACCGCCAACGAGTTTTGGGAAAGTATAAGGCATCACGATTACTTTATTCTATTGTCAACGAGTAAGGGCAGATACAGTGTGTTGTAATTTATTTCATTCATTGCAGCAGAGGACCGCGTTGCCGAGCGCAATGTTGCCGTCTCTACCGAAATTCCTGCGCTCTTGGAGAGAAACATTGTTGCCACTTCCGACGAGTTTCCGGCACCTTGGGGAAAAACAATCTTGCCTGATCTGAACAATGAGCTTGCGCAAATTTGGTCTAAAATATTACAGGAAAGTCTGTCTCCCGAGGTGCTAACCACTATATTGAGCAAGTATTCTCCGCTCAGTAATCTAAGCATCGCTACTGCTCCCAAACTCAATTTGGAGATCTTATCGGTTCTTACGGAACAGCACAAACAGCGAGATCTACGACTCGCTAAGCGTCAAGACCAGATGGGAGCCGCTCTGGTGGCAATTGGAAAAGCACTGACAATCCTCTTGGAAAAAGGGGAGGGGCACATACAAGAGTGTGGGTTGAATGGCTCGGGGATGCAGGGCGTTTAATTTCGGATATCCACCATCGAGAGTCTACGTGTGGAAGAAATCTTGTCTCGGTGGATGTAGACAAGCAGCTTCGAGGTACACTAACTAACGTAACTGTTGACGGTTGGTTGCTTGGACAAAATTTTGGTGATCGGTTGAAAGCAGCTCGTGAAATGGAGAAGTTATCGTCAAACCTCAAGCCTAAAGCAGTTACTGCCAGATCTACCGCTTCGGTAAATTTCAATAGTCTGTCTCGAGCAAATGTCAAGGGGTATCGAGGCAGACGCAAATATTTCCTCAGAGCCTGGAGGTCAAAAACACTCGGAAGATCTCTAGCTCAACCAAAGAAAATCGTCCAATTTATCGAACCAACTGAGCCCAGGCCTATCCAACACGGACCAGTTAGAGGTAATCTATAAATGTAAAAGGTCAAAATACTTTTCCCGGTCCTGGAAATCACTAACTTCTGATAAACTGCTGTTATCATGGGTCAAGGTTATCTAGTCCCGTTTTACCAAACACCGTTTCAGAAATCTGCCCCTAAGGAACTGAAATGGTATTTAACAGAACAAAGATTTTTAGATGTTAAAATTAAGCGACTTTTGTCGCTGGACGCCGTAAGGAAATGCTCTTTTAAACAAGGTCAATTTGTCTCAAATATTGTTTTAACACCTAAACATGACGGTTCGTACAGATTAATTTTAAATCTTAAAGATTTAAACAAGTTCATTATGACAGAACATTTTAAGATGGAGGATCATAAAACGGTGACAAGATTACTGCAGGAAAACATGTTTCTGGCATCCTTAGATCTCAAGGATGCCTACCACCTAATCCCAATACATAAACACCATCGTAAATATGCAAGATTAGTTTTCTCTGGGCAAATGTATAGATATACCTGCTCACCTTTCGGCCTTAACACAGCACCTTATGTGTACATTGACAAAAAAAAGTTTTATTAGATTTAGGCTTTCTGATCAATTCAAAGAGGAGTATGACTGTCCCATGCACACGAATAAGATACTTAGGTTTCTTATATAACTCAATAGACATAACTGGAAGTTTACATTTAGACAAGCAAAAACCATGTCAGAACATATTCACAAACTTGTGAGCAATATTACATTTACTATCAGAAAGTTTGCTAAACTGATTGGTAAGTAGATCGTTGCATGCCCAGCTATTAAATATGGTTGGCTTTACACCAAAAATTGTCAAAGAGCAAAATTTTTGGCACTAAAAAGATAAGAGGAGCTTGCAATGTCGAGATGAGATTTTCTAGTGAAGTTCTAATGGACCTTCTCTGGTGGTCTGGTTAGGGCATCTACTGTAACAGTTGCAAGTCCCACGGTTTTTGGTCTAAAGACGATAAGAAGCACCATATAAATTATTTAGAGTTGCTGGCGGCATTTTTTGGATTCAAGTGCTTTGCTGCAGACCTTGTGAATTGTGAAAGCTTGTTGCGGATAGATAAAACCACAGCCATTTCATACATAAATAGAATGGGCGATATTCAGTTTCCATATCTTAAACAGCCTTGCAAGGCAAATTTGGCAGTAGTGCGAAGAGCGTAATTTATTTATCTTTGCATCTTATATAAAATCTCAAGAGAGCATTATTGCCGATCAGGAATCTCGTCATCTAAATACTGAAACAGAGTTTTCACTAGCAGGGCATATGCCAAAATCACCCGAAAGTTGGGTGCGCCTAACGTAGATTTATTCGCATCTCGAAACAACTATAAATGTAAAAGGTATGTTTCGTGGTTGAAAGACCCCGGATCATTTGCATGAGATGCCTTCACTCTTCCGTGGACGGGCATCAACTTTTATGCATTTCCACCGTTTTCCTTAGTTTTGAGAGTTATACAAAAAATAATAAATGACAAAGCAAATGGGATACTAGTGGTACCGTTTTAGCCTTCCCAAGCGTGGTATCCACTTTTCATTATGCTGTGTAGAGGAGAACCTATTTTCTTTGAGCTACAACCGGATCTATTGATTTCACCTTTCATCAGCGCAGAACATCCTTTAGCGGGGAACCTTACCCTGGTAGCGGCGAGACTATCCGGCGAGTCCTAAGGATGCAAGGTGTTCCCGAGTGCGCAGTCGAAACGACATTGCAATCCTTGTCTGAAGCTACAATAGAACAATACGGAGTCAAATATAAACTCTGGTGGGAGTTTTGTAAGGCTCATAATACTTCGCCATTCAATGCCCAGGTTAGTGAAGTTATCACCTTTCTGCAAAGCATTCTTGATAAGAATGATTGTCTATTTGGATCCTTTAACTCTCACAGGTCCGCGCTTTCACTGATTTTGCCATACGAATCAGGGGATAATCCCATCTTAAAACGGTTTATGAAGGGCATATCTCGAATAAGACCACAGCAGCCAAGATATAGTCTCACTTGGGACCCCAAACAAGTCTTAGATTTTCTGGAAGCGCATCAGACAACCTCCGTGAAACAACGTTCAATGAAACTGGTGACCCTATTACTGTTGGCAACAGGACAAAGGTTGCAGACCATATAGAAAATAAAAATTAGCAATATACGGGAAACATGCGACTGTGTCCAAATTCTGATAGACGAGACGATCATCGGGACCAAGATCGAAGCAGCCTTGCCTGATAATCCCAAGGTTCAATGACAGACCTCAATTATGGGTAGCAAATTGTCTGACATCCTACGTCACAGAAACTGCAGCATTAAGGAATCAAAATGACAAGTATTTGTTCCTAACAACCCAAAAACCATACAGAACCGCTTCCAAACAAACTCTCAGTCGGTGGGTAAGAGACACTCTCAAAATGGCAGGGATTGATACTGACATATTTAAGCCGCATTCTAGACGGCATGCGTCAACTTCTGCCGCTATCAGAGCCGGAGTTTCTTTGGACATTATCAGGGACTCAGCAGGATGGAGTAGGAATTCTGAAACCTTCGCGAAATTTTATAATCGACCTCTAATATTTAGAGAACAGTTTGCACTGAACGTTTTGGACGTACATGAATAAGCATTTACTTATATTTATGATGTATCGCATAGAGTTTTCTTTGAATTTTGCCGGTGGCAAAACTTTGGAATTTATTTCAAATGAAATTTTTCTTTTATGCTCCTATCATACGCTGTATCCCATGAAGTTGCATTAAACGTTTGCGTTTAGGAGCAACCGTTCATTTTAAGTTATGTTACACACTGTATCACATAGAGTTTTGTTTGAGTTTTGCAATATATCATCGTTCTCCCAATAAATGCTTGATCACCAAAACCTCATACTATTTCTTTCCGTTCGTGTCATAACCCATATATCTTTAAACATCTACGTGGTGAAATAATAAACATCTTTGGACTGGACGCCGAAGTATAATTTAACGATCAAATGAACTTACCTTAAAGAAGTTCGATAGAAATTATACGAGGCGTCCAGTCCAAAGATGTAAGCTCTCCCCCATGCCCTACCCTGATGGGTTATGCACAAAACGGAATGATTTCAACTAAATGACTGTAGAAGGGCAAAGCAGCGGTATATACAGGGACACGGGCGTAGCAGAAGGGGATTTTGCTTTAAAAACCTTGTGGCTGGTAGCACGACAGGACGGACTACGTGATGAAATAATAAACATCTTTGGACTGGACGCCTCATATAATTTCGATCGAATTTCCTTAAGGTAAGTTCATTTGATCGTTAAATTATACCCTAATGCCAACTTTTTGGTGTATTTTTGTTTTAGAGTTATTCAATTTTTTATTGACTCACATATCATTTGTTTCCTACTAAATCTACACAACATTGACAAAAACAGACAAGATTCCAGTGAAAATGCGTATATATATATATACAAAGAGAAAATGATCATGCGGAGAAACGTATATAACAAAAGATAGCAAAAAAATGGGCAAATTCCGCAAAAAGAAGGAAAGTGGATTCGAACAGAAAATAGGATAGGTAACCCGAGTAATCTGAGGAAACGAAGATGGAGAGGGAAAAAATCACACACAAAGTCCACAACAAGAGCCAACCTATACATTGTAGTATAAAATGGTTAGAAGACCTCGAATTTTCAAGGCGATATCTAACCACAACCACGCGGCCGATTATATCCACTTGCTGTGATACTTCAGGCCCAAAGGATCTACAAAGAGAAGATGATCATGCATTATTTTCCTATTTTTTGTTATATACCTTTCTCCGCATATGGATATAGGGATACAAAATATAAGATGATTTCATTTATTTATGACCTGTTCCGAAGCAGTCAAGGCAAAAGTGGGAACGGAACACTGACATGGATCGTTCAGCGATTCTGAATAAAGAAATAAATCAAACGTATTACTGCAGACTGTAAGTCATAAGCAGAACAAATGATACAAAATTGGACTTTGCCTACTTAAAAAATATTTCAACTAAGAAAAATAAAATTTTATCTTGAGTGCATGGAAAACTCTTAATGTAAAATCTCGAAAAGGGTGAATCATAGCAAGATTTTTAAGGTATACCTTTTTTGAGCAAACTGCACAATGCATATTCTAAATAAAAAATTAAATTATACCAAGCGTAAGAAAGGTACGAAGTTTAAAGAAACGGAAGATTATGCTGGTGGCGCCCTCTATAAGGTAATTTAAAAAAGCGTAAATTTTTAGATTTTCCATATAAAAAAACCTCATATCTCAAATTACGTTAAAAACGAAGAATAAATGCTAAATTTATGGCCAAAATTCCAAAAAATTACAATAAGTTTATCACTGTGTATCTTGGTTGCCTTTGACTTACGGACTAAGAAAGTTTAACTCATTCTCAATATTTATTTGAAATGAATCTGCTGTTTTACAGGTAACCAAATAATTTCGTGCGGTTTTTAGTAGAAAAATATAAATTTTTATTGAGAAACAATAAAACACTATTTATTCGTCGAAGTAATTACCATCACATTGAAAGACCTTTTGCCAACGTGGAGCCAATTTCTCTATGCCGGTATTGTAGAACTCCCTGAATTTGGAGTAAAAAAATTGGCGG